CACCTCAGGCGTAGCGTAATGACAGAAAGTGTCCGGATACCTGCCAGGCCAGGCGACTCGGGGCCATCTCTCCTGCAGGCTTTGCTCGTCAGAATACAAAACAAATAATAAACGATAATATACTTTTAGAACCTCACCTGCCACCTTTACCATGCGTAAGCATTGGCGCCCCAGTAACCGGCGGCGGCCCCTGGAGGATGATATCATCCCTCTTTCACGGTAAGGCATCACATATGAATGAATGAAAAGTTGACAGTATGCAGCTGAATTAAACTGCCGCAGCACCAGTCCGTCTCAAAGCCGTCTCAAGAAGGGCGGTCGTGGAGGGGGGGGGGGGGTGGTTGTGGTGGGGGGGAAGGGGGGGGGGGGCTGAGTTGGCCGCGTGGCAGCGCAAGGTGAGCGGTCCCGATGGCTGCGTCAGCTTTTATTACGTGATAAGACAATGAACAAAGGCTTCTCGAGCAGTTCCTACGCGCTAATGCTCGTCGTCAAGCGACAGTCGCCGGAGATGATGGTGCACGACACGACCAAGCGGCGTCAACAAGGCTGGAACACTGCTTCACAAACAGGACTCGGAACACGGCGGTTGGCTCGATTTTTAGTCGCAGTTCCTTGAAATTGGCCGTGATGAGACATGTTTGCATAGCACTGGTACCTCTGCTTAAGAATGCTAAGTTTCCTTCGTCGTCTGTTCATTGGTGTAACAGCCAGTAAAAATCAAGCGGCGAGCGCCATGGTTCTTTGAATTCAAACTGCTTACCTTGCCCGGTGCTAGCGAGTATTTTCCTAGCACCAACTACCTATGTATACAGATAAAGCACGATGTAGACCTCCCGTACCTCTGGTTTCCCAGACGCGCAGTGGTTAACGCAGACGCAGAAGCATTAACCGTCACCTGATTCGGGGCCTGAGGGGCGAAGCTGTTGCTGGGAAAATGAGCCGAGAAGGTGGCCGCTCGGTGGGGGGGGGGGGGGGGGGGGCGAGAGGAAGGCCAATGCATGAAGCACATTGCATCTAATGCACGTCATTACAACCACCGGGGGTACATAAAATGGTCCAAAAAGTCACCCCACCGCCTCCAAAGACAGTACGGACCGTGGATTACGGGCTAAGGCGGCCCGCGAATGGAGCGGACAGCTGTCCTGGAAAAGACATTTACTATTTCCGTGAGCAGGGATACAGTGCTTGCAGGAACAGATTTCAGATACCAAGTTCTTAGGCCTCGGACATCTGGACTTGCACCGTCGTGCATCCAAAAAAGCGTCATTTTGGGCTTTACCGGCACATGCCGTAGGGAAACACGTCTAGTTACTGATTGAACAGCTCGCTCCCACGCCGCTTAAGTCGCCCAAAGCTGAAAAAGGTCCGGGGGGGGGGGGGCGGTTGGTGAAAGCCAAAGTAGTTCCAATACCGCTGCTTTTGGACTTTCGTCGGTTGCGCGAAAGTCAGAAATGGTGCTTCAGTACAATCGATCGGGTGTGGAACATAAGGGATCCATTGGGCATACCGTGTGCAATATTTATGCTGCATGTATTATGAGAATCGAATACACAGCTAGGCGGCGAAGGGGACTTACTTCCCTCGCCACTCTTCGGTGTGTTCCACTCTGGGGCGCCGGGGAGGGTCATTTTATTTTAAGTAGAAAAAGAGCATATTGCTGCTGCTCTTTTCAAGTTCTTGAGAGGCCAATTCGAGCTCTGAGAGGGCTATCGAGTTGTCGTACACAGAAAAGGCCGATTTCATGCTGCAAAAAGGCCTATCCTAAACTTCAGAAGTGTCCGTTTGAAACTCTTAAGTGGCCCATTCCAGCCATTACACCTGCAAGAGCCATCTTCCAAAAAACTGGGGGCGAGAGACATCTGCCGACGCCGAGGGAGCCACATCGATGCAGACCGGTTAGCCCCCTAGTGAACTCCGCCCAACCGTGGCTGCGCCCCTGGTGGGAACACGCTGTCAACAAAAGATTCAACTTCATCTCCCTATGCGGTACTCGTTTGGCTTCAGGATGGCTTTTTAAAAGAAGGAACGAAGAAGATCAGATGCACAGTTTAGGGCAGAGCGGAAGAGAAAGAAGCAATCTGAACTGGTCGGTTCATGTAGATCTACTTTAGATTACTGGCGGTAAGTGAACACATTTGGGCAAGTGTTGGACTGTTAAGTTACTTTTGACATTGTTGGCAAAAATAAAGAAAAATGCTGGCATGGTCTTCACTTTAACTTGACATAATTTTCACAACACAAGTGTGGCTTGTGAACAAAGGTGAAATTAACTAGTATTAAATGTAAGGCTTCGCAATCAAGATGAAAAAGAGGCAACATGCACCCATGATGAAAGAGCACCTCCTCTTAGTGACATGATACTGCTTGTTGAGGTTTGCGCTTTCTTAGCCATCTGCTGGCATGACATCACTGCTGGTGGTGGTGATGGTATGAGGTATTCTGCCATGCTGAGCCTTGTGCACCTTACTGCCAGTGTATCCTAATATCACGATATCTCTTCTCCACAGCACATCGGCAGCCGTGCCGGCTCCGCCCCTGGTGGGCGACTCGTCGGTACCAGCGGCGGCCAGCGTCGTCCCTCCAGCTACCAGCCCCGTGCCGGCTCCGCCCCTGGTGGGCGACTCGTCGGTACCAGCGGCGGCCAGCGTCGTCCCTTCGGCTACCAGCACCGTGCCAGCGACTACCAGTGACTTTCCTTTGGCTGCCAAAAATATCGCTCCTGCACCAGTGACGGCCAGCGACGTTCCTCCAGCTACCAACGACGTCTCTCCGGCTGCCACTGATGTCCCCCCAGCTACCAGCATCGTATCAGCGACGGCTAGTTACGTCCCTCCAGCTGTCGCTGACGTCCCTACGGCTGCCAGCGACGTCCCTCCGGCTGCCAGCACCGCGCCAGCGGCGGCCAGTGACGTCCCTGTGGCGGCCAGTGACGTCACTTGCCGCCGCTGACCCTCCAGCAACCTGCACCATGCCAGCGGCTGCCAGTGACGACCCTCCAGCGACCTGCACCGTGCCAGCGGCGGCCAGTGACGTCCCTTTGGCTGCCAGTGACGGCCCTCTAGCTGCCAGTGACATCCCTCCAGCAGCCTGCACCGTGCCAGCGGCTGCCAGTGACATCCCTCCAGCAGCCTGCACTGTGCCAGCGGCTGCCAGCGACATCCCGCCATGTGCTAACTACTGGCAGCGCCATGCCAGCGGCCGCGGACAATTTCTTGGATGTCGCTCCCCCGGCCCCGTTTCAGCGTGGGAAATGGGTCCCAATGACTCAGACGGGCGTGGAGCCGACTGTTTGACTCTGCGTCGAGGCCCTGTACAATAAAGATAGAGAAACTTAATAACAGAGCCCTGGTAGAAGCCCTGATGGGTCCCTAATGGCCCCTGACACAATGACAGGCTCCTGTGTTGATCAGGGACCACAGTCCCTAACAGGGTCCCTGACATTTCAGATCACGGCACTACCGATGGGGTCCGGGCCCGAGCTCTATCGGGCGCTTAACCTTAGGTTGCGAGGAATCCTTCGGGCCGCTCTTCGGAATCCCGCACACACGGCTCGTGGCGACCCGCGCCACTTGACGACATAGCATCCCCTGCTAAACACTGTGGGCTCCCTGACCGACACACTCGCTGTTTCAGTGACCCCGACCCATGAAAATCGCGGGCTCGGCCTTGCTCGTGCTTGGCAAATGTGCCTTCAGGGCTCAGACCGACACGTAGCCGAGTGTGCAGTGTTTGTGGTCTCTGGTCAAAAAAAGAGGCCCGGACTGTCCCAGGGACTCCCAATCGATGCAACAGGCCCTTTCACAGAATTTGAGGTTATGTAAGGTCATGAGGTCATGGTAATTTGGTTTTGCCACAAGTTGAGTAGTTCTTGATTTTTGTTTTGGCCTAAGCCCACATTACATCTCTAGATATTCGGAATATTCTGCATCTGAGTGAAGGTGGACCGAGCATTTTTCGGGATTAAGTTCCAAATGTCATACCACGTCAAGCAGGTAGTCACCCGAAAACGCAAGCGCAGAGCAGATCTGCCTTTTCCGCTGTTTTGGGGAGCATGCCTCCATTGAACCCTCCCCTGCTGAGCCCGTCAGCAAATCTTAGTTCGATCCACGTTACGTTGTGTTTTGAGTGGAACCCCGACCCCGTTTTCGCCATATCTTTAAACTGACCAGCTCAAGGTCCCAATAACCTGTGAAATGCGCTGATTCGCTTGAAACAAGGCCTTCTTGGTGACAACGCTGGAATCTTTGCGGATTGCCTGCGCTCGGGCCTATGTCTTGCCTGTAACCTAACTTAATGCAATGCCAGCGTCAGAACACCGTGGCCAGAGAAGTCATCAGCATCAGAAAAGCTACAGCTGCGTGTGCTGACAGTGAGCCCTGAAAGCCGAACGGAATTCAACTGGACTCATCGAAGCTAATTTAAACCTGTCCAACCCAATGCCTGAAGCACGCAAGTTAAGTTGGGTGTCCGAGTCTGGGTTCGAGGTTTTCAGTATCTTTGGGTATAGGCTTGACTCGCGCCGTTTCAGGCTTGGTTTCAGGTCGTGTCCGAATCCGCTGTTTCTTTGGTTTGTGATTCCGAGATGAAGACTGATTTACCTGATCGGTTCACCGGAGACCAAAAAACTGGACTCGATTCCAGGCCGGACCGTAGTAGGCTCCGATTTGGGTCCGGGCCGGGCCGTAGTAGGCTCCGATTTAGGTCCGGGCCGGGCCGTAGTAGGCTCCGATTTAGGTCCGGGCCGGGCCGTGGTAGGCTCCGATTCAGGTCCGGACCGGGCCGCAGTAGGCTCCGATTTAGGTCCGGGCCGGGCCGTAGCCTGACCCACTACTGGTTATGTCGACAAGCCCCATACCTTCTGGCGCCGAATCATCCCGCTCACCCCCACCCTGTCTGCACCTAGCCCACTTCCCACTCACCGCGCTCTAAGCCGCTCCATCTCCCCCCCCCCCCTTCCACTCGACGCGCGGCGCTGCCAGGGCGCGGGGCGCTCTGCCCACCTTTGAGGACGTGCACGCGCACGGAGGCTGGCTTGGAGCTGGCCGGCCGGCACGTGTAGCGCCCGCTGTCGGGCGGCCGAGCGGCGCGAATCAGCAGCTGCGAGACCGTCGTGCGGCCCTTGGTGGTCACCACGCTAACACCACCCCGCTCCGAGTCGTAGTTGATCGTCTGGGGACGGGAAACGGACGCACATGGTCATCTGACGGCGGGGGTAAGAGGCGCCGGATCGTCGGCGGATAATGACGATGGACAATCTGAGCAGGGCCGCGGACATGCTGGGCCATCTGAGCAGGGCTGCAGACGCGTTGGGCCATCTGAGCAAGGCCGTGGACACAATGGGCCATCTGAGCAGGGCCGCGGACACGTTGGACCATCTGAGCAGGGCCGCGGACACAATGGACCATCTGAGCAGGGCCGCGGACACAATGGACCACCTGAGCAGGGCCGCTGACACTATGGGCCATCTGAGCAGGGTCGCGGACACAATGGACCATCTGAGCAGGGCCGCGGACACGTTGGACCATCTGAGCAGGGCTGCGGATACGTTAGACCATCTGAGCAGGGCCACAGACACGTTGGACCATCTGAGCAGGGCCGCGGACACAATGGGCCATCTGAGCAGGGCCGCGGACACGTTGGGCCATCTGAGCAGGGCCGCGGACACGTTGGACCATCTGAGCAGGGCCGCGGACACAATGGGCCATCTGAGCAGGGCAGCGGACACAATGGACCATCTGAGCAGGGCCGCGGACACGTTGGACCATCTGAGCAGGGCCGCGGACACGTTGGATCATCTGAGCACAGCTGCAGACGCGCCAGTTCATCCGCCTGCAGTGACGTCACACCGGCGCGTCCCGGCCATCGTCAGGCGGGGTCCCACGTGATGACAACACCGCTCGGTCACCAATGCCTCACCTTTTTGTCGTGCTCCCAGAGTATGAAGTCCGGCGGCTGGGGCGCGTGCTCGATCACGCAAGTCAGGTTGATGGTGCTCTGCTGGTCGATGAAGATCTCCGGACCGCCCAGGATCTCCGTGTCCGGCTCTGTAACGGCACGCGCGACCGTTACGGCTGGCCGGCGCCACGTGCGGCGCGCACCTGGTCACGCTCCTCGCGCAGTCGAGGTTGTATGAATTTGGGATGTGCAAAGAACGGGCCAGCGCATGTTGCCTCTAATGCAGATCAATGGCGAGCATATGGAGAGCGGAAACTCTCTGGGTACCGTGCTTTGCGCAGGTGCCGTTCTCTGGGTGGCTGCATGCAGAATTGTGTCGACCTGGCACCGCGCGTTACACGCCATGTGATCATTCAAGTACATGCAGTTAACGTCGATGGTGCAGTCTGTCTCGTCAACTTTCCCGATGCACTCAACAAGGGACTCAACTCCCGATGGACTCAACAACATGAACCACTGGGCGTCACTTAGCAAGCTATGGCAATCATTGGGAGATGACTGGCCGGTTTGTGTTGACCATTCAAGCATCATTCCTTTTTTGCGCTCACCGAGCGTAGAGCCGGGCCCGACTACGGAACCGTTTCCGCCTCCCATCGCCGGGCGCGCTGTGTATTCTGATCGAGCTGAAGGAATGGACTGGGATTTGACGCGGACGAGCGACTCTGGCCAAAGCCGGCGCGTAAATCTCCGTCTGCAGCCTTGTAAACAGACGTGCAGTGGTGCTCGCGCCCCGGCCGTTCCGCGTCGATTTCACCGACAGGGCAACAGTCGACCGGAGTCGAGACATACCAGCCGTCTGTCTTCGTTTGCGTCGTCCTGGCCGCGCTCGTAAAACAAAAAAAACAGCCGAAAACACAGATAGTGGGCGCTGTTGGTGCCTCTGTGAATGCCGACTGTGTTCTGCGATGAGGAGATGGCATGGGATGACATCTCAAGCTGCTGACACTTGAAGACACTCCACTGTAATGATGTGAGCTGCTCGGTTTGTATGCGCGCAGAAAGCACGAGCACAGCGAGCGAAGCTTATCTGATGACGAGAGTATTTATGAAACTGTTTGCGAGTAATTCGGAGTAGTCGTGCGCATTGTTGAAGATAAACGGCCTTGTTTGCCCCAATTTAACGCGAGATAATTTAGAATTTCTCCACAACACCATTTCATGTAATGCAAGTTAAGTGGAAGCAAGGAAATGCGTTTAATGCGGATTATGAGGTGGAAGTTACAAGATGCAAAATAATAAGGCGCCACTAACTTACACATAAGTTCCATTTATTGCTTACTTTGCTTAGCTTTATACTGAGTGGAGGTGAAATTTCGCCCTACCACCGATGGCAAACGGGGGGGGGGGGGAGGGGGGGAAGGGGGGCGGCACGTCCGGATTTGCAGTCATTTTTGTCGACGCAGCGTCCGCAGGACCCTTGTTAGGGCAAAAGAACAGAGGGAAGGGGCCTGTATTAGATAAGTACAGAGCTCTACCTACGGTACCGCGTACCTTGGGTTGGCCAACCACAATCCTTAGAAGCGCCCGCATGTGAAGCCGCCGGAGCTCGCGCAGTGCGACCATCCCGGCGCGAGACCGCACTCCCCATACAGCGGGAGTCAACGAGCGCTCGAATCATTCTACTCGACCGCTGCGAAACGACTGCTCAGCATGCACGAGCCAACCTCAACGAGAATTGTTTCGGAGTCATTGCATGCTTCGCTCCCAGAACGGCCGGCTGAGAGCTATTTCGAGGATGACATGTGACTGGCTCGACCCGTTTGATCGGCGCGAGACAAAATGAATGGCTGGGCGCGGGGTCTATTGTTTCTAACGACTTCAGTGAAATGTTCCAACATCCCTCATATTTAAAGATGCATCATTAATGAACATTACTGCATTCACTTTTGTAAAAGCAAAGTTCGTGAGTGCAGGCGATAAACAACCCGATATCTGGGATACGGCTCTAAAACTCTGTTATGTGCGGTGCAACTTACCGGTGCCACGCACTACAAATATGCTTGGCCCCAATTTCACTCATACAGTGGCGTACCGACGACATCTGATATCGACGACAAAACATTGTGTCATAATGTCACATGATGTGCTTGGCTTTTCATCTACCCACAGTCTGAAGTGCTTCGGCGCCAGCTCTGCTGGCGCCGTGCTTGTGCTTCGCTCCAGAACAATGGTGAGAACATCACCGGGCCCAATTCACTCCCGTCACGGCGTCGATGGCCATCTCGTAAAACGCCCTTTAATTTCGCGCAGGTCAGAGCCGCTGGTAGTCGCGATCGAGCTGGAATATGTCTACCGCATGTTCCCGACTGGCTTCGGGTGGGGCTGAAGGTCCTGCGGGTCTTAGTTCGGCAGTGGAAAATCTGTTGAGTTGAGGGACCCGGCCTGGACCGGCCATCCCGATTGCTTACAAGCGGGATGGGTGAGCAATGGCTTTCACTGTGTGAGCAAGGAGCCCAGTCCCATGCATGTCTCATTGTGTCAGCAACAGCGCAATGCTCAAAAGTCGTGCTGTATGGAGGCATTCTGCGCGCAAACTATAAGCATGAGCAGACATGATCACTGCAACACTGCATGATCCTTGCAGCACTGGCTTAAAACGCTGCTTATTAGGTTAACACGAGAAACGTAGAATTTGTTTAATGTTAAAACCCAGAAGACTATGGCTGGATGTCACACCTAGATTTTGACGACCCGACATCTCAGTGGCAAGGTGCTAACACATTTTGACAGCTGAGAGAACGGACAATCCCATTAGCCAGGACATGGATCGGTGCGTATCATCCCGCCAGCTTGATGACAGACCACGGAACAGCGGGTCTTAAGACGGGTTCCGTAAGGGTTGGATGTCAGATCTCGGCAACCGGAGTGGATGAATGAGGTGATGCGATATCATGATGATAATCTTGATTTTTTATCATCATGATAAAATCAAATCATGATCACTATTTTGATTCTCTCACCTGTCATGACTCGCTTGTTCCTTGACGCAGAACGAATCTGAACGATTTGGGCGTAGCTTCCGTTGCCCTTGTGAATGCCTCATGTCGAGATGCCCTTTAGCAACGCGTGATGCGGTATTGGCATGCGTGCATGCACAGAACACGTACATGCAGCATCTAGCCACGCCAGCCTTTCTGTTACAGTAGCACACACAAGAAACCATATGGCATTATCAGTTCACATTGCGAATCGTTGAAAAGTGACAAAACGAATGGCCGTAGTTTTTTTTCGAAACGACAGCGATCAGCATGCTGCGGTCGTTTCCAAGCGATAACCAACGGAAATGGTTGCGAAACTCGTGCATTGATCCCGATATCTATGATATTATAGCGATAAGCGAAAGAGGATGGAAACGTATCTGTCATTGAGGCAGCCATCTCCGACCTAGCACATCGCTATTCCGCAGCGAATGCTGCAGAAACCAACTCAGCCACAGCACACGGCTGACTGCCGTCCACATCTTCTGACCCGCCCGTATTCTCTGGATGTCAAAAGTAAGACCGAAATTATAACTGCCTGCTCTTGCCGACAGCTCGGCGTTCCGATGGGATGTGGTTTGTTGAAGGCAATAGCTCAGCAGGTGGAATTCTCTTCGCCTCACGGTAAATGAAGCAACCGGATTGGCAACGCTGCCTTGCCAAAGCCAGGCAGAATGGGACAAGGCTTTCCGACGACTGATTACCTTGCTCACCATCAGCCAGCCACTCCGCATCTCTGTTCTTCCTTCTCAGTTCGCCCGCCGAATTAAGCGCGGCTATGGAGAGGTATCCGCGCTGTCGGAACCAGGTGGGTCGCAATTATTCAGCCGTGCTCTGTTGTCCCTGAGCGCTGCATCGCGGCGGCGTGCTCCGGCCAAATCCAAACAAACTGCGGCAATAGCGCGGTCGGCACCGTCCGAATGCCGGCCGAGAGTGGTCTCCGAAGACCGCGGCGCACCGGGGCCGCCCGGCCCCCGCCATCCAGCCGGCAGAGGACCGCGGCACACCGGGGCCGCTCGGCCCCTCGCCACCGAGCCGGCAGCAGACCGCGGCACACCGGAGCCACCCAGCCCCTCGCCACCGAGCCGGCAGCGGACCGCGGCACACCGGGGCCGCTCGGCCCCTCGCCACCGGGCCAGCAGCAGACCGCATCTGCCGCCCCGCCACAGGCAACGGATGTGGACATGTGGACATGGCAGGAGTGGAAACACCGTCGGCTGTGCTCACGCAGCGAGCCAGCGCCCGAGGACAGCTCGGCCCCGGTGCTAGTGGCTCTGGTAAGTCTCCTTACCGGCGGGTGGGACCGGCCCCGAAGCCGGCACCGGGGAGCTCAGCCACGGTGCTGATGGGTGTGGTAAATCTCTTTCCCGGCGGCTGGGACCGGTGCGTTTGATGGCTCTCTGATGCCAGGATTTGAGGATCAGCAGATACAGGCCTGTGGGGTTGGTTTGCTGGTGGTTTGATTTACTGCTCTGGCACGATGTCGGTTTTCCTGCGTTGAAGACGTTGGCGAGGGACCGCTCTCCGGCGCTGAGTTCCATCGTAAGGAGAACGAATCTCTGGTGCTGGCATTAGTGGGCTGTGGGCTGATCTGCAGCGCGGATAGCAACAGCCGAATGGAACTGAGATTTCTGGTACTGTTAATCACGTGGAAATCTCCGGAGGCAGTATGGGTGCGTTAGGTTCGAACCGATTTATCAGCCCCCCAACCTCGCCCGCTTCCAGTGCCGGGCGTAAGGCGCGATCGCCTATGAATAATTAGTATGGGTGTGAGTGGATCAGCAATGGACAAACCCCCAGAGGAAATGACGGTTTTCACAGCTTGCTTGTTTCCTTCATCCAACGCGTATGGTGTACTTAATGTCTGTCTACACCAATTCCCCCCAAATAACCTAGTTCCACTGACTGGCAGAGCCATTACAGCTGATTGCATGCCACGGTAAAGACCAACCAAAGAAGGATGGATGGCTATCCAAGAGGAACAGATAGATGGCCGCCTCGGAAGTGCTCATTGCTCATGGTCCGGGAGTCCTCTGTAATGGAAAAGTGCATTCGTCCCCGCCCTATGAGAGAGTGCAGCATTGTCGCGACGAGCTTTGCGCAAACATGCGAGCCTTGGCCGGTGGTGAGAGCCACTTGGATCCACTCCGGCTTTGCGCAAACAGGCGAGCCTTGGCCGGTTGTGAGGGCCGCTTGGATCCACTCCGGCTTTGCGCGAACATGAGGACCTTGGCCGGTGGTGAGGGCCGCTTGGATCTACTCCGGCTTTGCGCGAACATGCGAGCCTTGGCCGGTGGTGAGGGCCGCTTGGATCCACTCCGGCTTTGCGCGAACACGCGGACCTTGGCCGGTGGTGAGTGTCGCTAGGATCCACTCCGGCTTTGCGCGAACACGCGGGCCTTGGCCGGTGGGGAGGGCCACTTGGATCCACTCCAGCTTTCCGTGCAGGCATGCAGCTGTCTGTGGCCTTGGCCGGTGGTGAGAGCCACTTGGATCCACTCTGGCTTTGCGCGAACATGCAGACCTTGGACGGTGGTGAGGGCCGCTTGGATCCTCTCCGGCTTTCTGTGCAGGGATGCGGCTGCCTGTGGTCCACCCTCAGCACAGGCCACCGTGGTACTGCACAAAAGCGTAGTACAACTGAGGTCTCCGTATTAATTTCAAACAAACAAAAAATGGGGTATGGGGGACATCCTCCACCACAAGGGTGAGAAACTCGGGCTGGTGCAGGCACTTACCCACTTTGGCGAAAGCTGGGGGCAATGTGAGCACCTCAGCACAGTAAGATAGCTAAAGCCGGTACGGTGCTCGCCGACCGCAGTGAGGGAGCCATGACTGGTGCGGTACTCACCGACCACGGTGAGAGAGCTAGGATTGGTGCGGTACTCACCGACCACGGTGAGAGAGCTAAGACTTGTGCAGTACTCACCGACTACGGTGAGGAAACTAGGACTTGTGCTGTACTTACCGACCACGGTGAGGGAACCTGGACTTGTGTGGTACTCACCGACCACGGTGAGAAAGATGTGCCTGGTGAGCGGCGGCGTCGTGCCGATCTGGCAGTCGTACACGCCCGAGTCGTTGTGAGTGGTCCGCTCGAGTTTCAGGGTCCAGTCCGAGGTGTGCCGGTTGTGCTCCACCCGGAACCGATTGTCCATAGTGTAGGTGTAGCTCCCCACCGACAGCAGCGTCGGTACATCGGCCGCGCGCATCCATGACACCTGCCGGGTCACGGGGAGGTCAGGGGTGCGCCTTTCACTGCGGAGAGTCCACAGTGTCCGCCCCGGGGCCCTGAACAAGACCCCACCGGCGCCACCAGTGTCGTGCATGTAGCCTCAAGCCTGCAAAGGTGTGTCCTACCCGAGAGGCCATCCTCTCCGCGGAGTGCCTTGTCCCAGCAGGGGTGACCTGGTCGCGATCCCGGCCTCGTCAGCTGGCTAGCCCCGGCCGAGGTGCCAGGTGAGAAGCACACGTGGAAAATGAGAATACATATCAGGCGAAGAAGTTGCGATCTTCACCGCATTTCTTTCGCTGTGGACTAGCCCGGCCGACCGACCGGCCGGCGAGTGACCGGACCGGGTGCCCGTGACCGCAAGGTGGTCCGGTGTCGCGGGCGCTCACCGCCAGGGTCTCACCGTCTCCGACTCAACCCACAACCGGCTGTCACCCAGAGAGTGTCAGGGTTGACACCAACTCCTGATTGGAGGTGACGTCAATGGCGAGGTTGAGTGCCCACTCGTAACCACTCGAGAACATATCGTCCCAATTGCTCGTTCGTTTCACTCCCACCACGAAAACAACTTGAAACTGATCGTCGTACAGTTAAAACGACGAGGAAATGATCCTTGGAGAGAGAGCACAACCTTTCGGATCAGAGCATATTTTACACGTACGCAAATAGATTCGGTGTGCCAAATTCGGGCTTGTCGAGCAGCGTTCCAGGCTCTTTTCCGGAACCTTAGTATTTCCTATTGAAACATCTACTTTCGTGCAATCTCAGAAAACATATTTCCTTCAACAAGATTCACTGCCGTTTTAGCCACCTACGGCCAGTGTTTATTCGGTGGACTTTAGGACTTAACTTCCAGTGTCATAAATCGCATGGAAGTTTGGCTTACGAGTCGCCATTTGAACTCGCACCGAGAGTGTCGTATTTCCAAATCAAGTGTCTGCCAAATTGCTTGGCAATTTGTTGACTGCGGCTCCGGCCGATAACAGCCCAGGAGAAGCGATCGGGGTCAGCATGGGCGGATCCAAGAGGGGCATGAGGTGTGAGGGGCATGCCCAAGGACGGTGAAAAAACTGCCAATGTTCCTCTTTCAACGAGGTTTTTGAAAAGCTGGAGCTCTGTTCACACATGGGCTTCATCCAAGACAAAACACAGAATTTCTTTTTGGACGAACTGTCTGTTTTGTCGGCAAATGCAGGCCGCAGCGTTGAAATACTGACCGGTCTGTGCGGGGTGGCCCACTTGAGAGCTGAATGCAGGCGGCAGCGGTGAGATACTGACCGGCCTGAGCGGGGTGCCCCAAGTGAGAGCTGAATGCAGGCGGCAGCGGTGAGATACTGACCGGCCTGAGCGGGGTGGCCCATGTGAGAGCTGAATAACCACCGATATGAAGAGCTTATCGACAGGAGTTCTGTAATACAAATGCTGCTCAAACCTTCTCTTTTCTCTCAACGGAAGGAAATTTAAGGTGCATAATTTCTTCGCGTAGTGTGCCATCCAAAGTAATACATATATTAAAGTAATCCGTAACAGACATTCCTTGCCATCACAGCTGAAAGTGGTCGCCTAACACAGCTGCCTGACCTGTATGGACCCCAAGACCAGCACATTCAAGGTTGGAAAACAACATGCGTCTAGCTGCTCGTTGAATTATTGGCGTGACACTGTTTATATCATTGGATTAGGGGCAAGTCTACTTATTTTACATTTGCTGCGGTTGAAGGCCTGTCATAAGGACCCAATATTCTTGAAATTCCAGAAAAACTTGAGCACTTCTCTGCTGCAATTACTTCCCCCAGCCTGCCCTCTGTATTTAACGTCAAAAGCTCCCGCCTGGCCTGTATTTACATCTCAGCCTAGGCAAACAAATGTTCCCGGGCTATGTCCACAAGTGCAAAATCCAGGTGTCTCGGTGTTAAAGTTCTTTGGCCCGGCCTCCCGGGAACAGCTGATACGCTGTTCAGCTACGCGCCAGCAGTACTTAAGCTGACGCAACTGCACAGCACATCAAAGCTGTACGACATGGCAAACATTACTGCGTCGAAAACCGCCGCTTTTAATGGGCTTTTAAACAAAAATGTTTTTCGCCGGTAGACGCTGACTGCATCCTTTGATCCGCGTGGCTTGGGTCAGGTTTCCTGTGCAGCCATCTTACTGCTGGTGACGGCAGTCCGCAGAGCCCCTGGGGGACGGTTGCCCGCCGGTCGCTGCCCGCTAATCAATGACAATGGGCGACGCTCGTGCAACACCCGCCTGAACGGAGCAGCCGATTACAGAGGGTGTGAAGTCAGTGTGTTTGCAACAGTGCTCAGCCCGGCGATCGGTCCCTTTGTTCAGATTGCATGCTGGCGGTGCTGTGGAAATGATGGGTGACCTCGGCTAACGGCGCCGGCGTGTCAGAGCTGATGCCATCGCCAGCACCGCTGTGACGAAACTCCGGCTTGAGGGCCGTAATGTGACAGCCTGGGTCGATGCGGCTTGGAGACATTGTTGACAGTTTTCGTGTTTGCCCTGGACGTAATAAATAATTGATCATAAGCATTTGGCGTTTGGTTGTGGTGTTATGGTGCTGAAGGGCGCGTCGGCTTCGGCGCCATTTCACACCCACCATGTTGGCGTTAACAATCAACTCCATCTTTACGAAGGAGTACAATTATTGTTGTCAAAATTTCGATTAACGTGAGAAATATTGCGTGTGGCATAGTTCCCGTACACGTACATTAAACGTCACCTCATGGAAAACCTAAGAGCCGCCTTTCACAATGTTCTATTTTCTCGCGGTAAAAGCACATGACCGGGTTTGCCTCCCTGCCCCCTAGATATTTAAACTGTAAGGAATTGCTTCATCCCACAGTCCGTCAGACGGAAATGCGCATACCATACTTGCTGTAAAATAGAAAACAGTAACTTACATTAGACACTTGGGCATACATTGCAACCACTTTGAATATTGCTCGACTTCTCAAATATGAACAGCCTCGAACGAAAAGCTTCAAGCCAACAACCGATCTTCCATAATATTTTTGGGCCTTACTCCGATTTCCAGATATGGTGGGACCATGCGATAGATGAGGCTACATGAAGAAACACGTCGCCGCTACAGTTCCCGTCGGGGGCGGCCTCTTCGCACCAGGCATCCCTCCCCGACTGATGACATCACTGCCCGACTGATGACGCCACAGCGCTGCTCCAGGCGAGCCTCTGCTCTCATCGTCGCCAGTGGCGGGCGGAGTGTCAGTCCGCCCGTCGGCAGCGTCAGCTGGCACGCGCCAGCGGCCCGCGTGGGGGACCGGGCGCCGCGCGCGCCGGCGTGGGATGTCCTGCGTGGGAGCACTGCCGCCAGCTCCTGTAATCTAGGCCCATCGGCATATGGGCTTAAGCGGCGGGAGCAATCACCCCGGCCCGTCCGCTCGGCCTGGCGTGGGAGACGGGCCGATGCGTGGGGGTCTGCTGACAATCAGTGACGTCACATGGCGTGACCCGACCTCGTGCCGTGAGAGCCGCGGCTGGGAGCGTGCCGCGAGGAGCTGCGCCTGGCAAGCGCGGTCTGAGAATAGAGCGCTGCAGAAACGACATCTGTGTAGTGCTGCTTTCTTTCTCTTCTGCCGCACAAGATGAAAATATAGGGAGGAGGTGGACAACCAATGGGACAGCTTTTTGTATAGGGAAAAGACGCGTGCGCTGCGTTGCCCCGACACAAACATTTCAACGTACCACAGTTCGCTTATTTTATAAGTAGCTTACCAAAGTCATCCAGTCTCTGACATCTGAGTCACAACAGCGCACGTTATTATCACTGAGTCACAACAGCGCACGTTATTATCACTGAGTCACAACAGCGGACATTCCCAAAGATGTCCAGCGTCCGGAGGGTTCATTTGGCGATGAGCAGTACCACAGCCCAAGAACCTCAGCCACCAATACCACTCTGCAGATCCGGGCCCGTTCGGTGACCGTTTTACGACCACTCGGTCCGCCTACGGCCCAGTCGGCCGCAAACTTCCATCCCTTGGCCGCCGCGGCGTCCCCGTACCGTGGCGTTGGCGACCTGCTTCACCCGGCAGTTGAGGCTGGCGGCGCTGCCCAGCAGGACGGTGACGTTGCCCGAGAAGTACTCGTCGTAATAGGGACCGGGCGCCGGCGTGCTGGCCGGCGGACGCAGCACGTGCTCGAAGTTGAGACCTGGGGGACGCGGCGTACCGCAGTTAGCGGCAGACGGCTACCGGCCGGCACACATTCAAGTGCCGCGGAGAGGTTCGGGCGGGAGATAGAGAGAGAGAGAGAGAGAGAGAGGGGGGGTGGGGGGGAGAGAGAGAGTGAGAGAGGGAGAGAGAGGGGGAGGGAGAGAGGGAGGGGGAAAGAAAGATGATGGGAGAGAGAGAGGGTAGTAAGGGGAGAGACATGGGGCGTGGAAGAATGCAAAAAGATAGAAGATGAAGGCACTTGGAGAGAACGCAGCGCTTGTCCCAACACCGCAAAAAAGCCCACTTGCATTCACAAATGTTGAAAACAAGTGCCCATGTTGTTGGTGCCTCTGTCATGAAGAAAAGACGACTTTTCCTTGATAACCTAAATCACACATAACAATCATAGATTTTCTGCAAACAAAATAAATCGTCACTGACATCCCACAGACGTTTTTTTCTATTGGAATCTGCAGACTCATCAAACTGCCAGCATCTCGACATTATGGGCAGTTCTGTCAATCTATGCTAGAATTATCGCCAGAGAGGCACATTCAGATAAAGGCTCTTTCCATTTAACTCCTCAAATCACTCCTCATTTACATTTCAACAGCTTTGTTGACAAAATTCCAGGTGGACGTCAATGCAGCGTCCATGTTTTATGCATGAGCTCGGCTCCGCACCCCGGTCGGCTGCCGAGGGCCCGCAAGTGAGGAGAACCGCCCGTCACCGCTCTGATTGATGCCCAGGGGAGGAGAAGGGCAGAATCACTCGACCGCCCTCCCCTTCCGATAACGCGCCGCCTGGTGAACGGGCCGGCGGAAGAGGAGTCCCACAGGCCGTGCGGCGCCGTCTGAGCTGAAGCCGCCCACTCTGAGGCAATCCACACCGCCCCACCACTGAGCCGCCCGCTCGTCTGACTGGCAGGCCGTCCGACAGTGCTGTCGGCGCGCGGCTCAGCTCAGCGGGGATCGGGTGGGAGGGCGGCGGTAACTGCCCGGCGTGCGGCTCAGCGGAGATCGGGTGGAGGGCGGCGGTAACTGTTGGCGCGCGGCTCAGCGGAGATCGGGTGGGAGGGCGGCGGTAACTGTCGGCGCGCGGCTCAGCGGAGATCGGGTGGGAGGGCGGCGGTAACTGTCGGCGCGTGGCTCAGCGGAGATAGGGTGGGAGGGCGGCGGTAACTGTCGGCGCGCGGCTCAGCGGAGATCGGGTGGGAGGGCGGTGGTAACTGTCGGCGCGCGGCTCAGCGGAGATCGGGTGGGAGGGGGGCGGTAACTGTCGGCGCGCGGCTCAGCGGAGGTCCGACAGTGTTGTCGGCGCGCGGCTCGGCGGGGATCGGGTGGGAGGGCGGCGGGTAACTGCTCTGATTGAGGCCCGCCGCCGCCGGCCACCTGGGGCCGGCTGCCAGTCAGCGGTAAACGGACGCGCCGCCAGCCGCTCGGGGCTGCATCGGCCCTCCTTCCGCCGCGTCCGTCTTCATTTTTCGGCCACCGACAGTCTCCGGCGCTCTCGACGCGTCCTCGACGAGCGCCAAACAACGGCGTTAAGGCGGCCATAAATCCCGCGGCTTATGGGCGGGCGGCGTACGCTGGCGACTCCAGATGGCCCAGGCGGGAGACCAGAGGACAGCGGACGGGCCGCGCCGGCCGGCCATTACACGGGCCCGACGGCAGGCGGGCGGAGCGGGGGCCGGGCGGGCAGGCTACTGGTGATCAGCGCGCCGGCGAACCGGCGAGCAGGCTGACTGGTAACCAGTGCTGGGACAGACCGATCAGCGGGCTGGATGGTAACCAGTGCAGGAGCAGACCGATCAGCAGGCTGGCTCGTAACCAGTGCTGGGACAGACCGATCAGCAGGCTGACTGACAACCGGTGCCGGGGCAGACCGATCAGCAGGCTGGTTGGTAACCGGTGCGGGAGCAGACCGATCAGCAGGCTGGCTGGTAACCATCCTGGGGCAGACCTGTGAACCAGCTGACTGCCAGTGCAGGAGCAGATCGGTGCTCACGGAGACCGTTGAAGAAGCGAGCTAGCGAACGGCTGAACAGATGGACGACAAGCCCAGGGGTCAGCGCACATGCGGGCGGTGAGACCAGAGGACCAGCGGTCGGTGGGACCAGCAGACCAGCGGTTGGTGGAGCCAGCGGACCAGCGGTCAGTGGAGCCAGCGGACCAGCGGTCGGTGGGACCAGCGGACCAGCGGTCGGTGGAACCAGCGGGCCAGCGGTCGATGGGACCAGCGGACCAGCTGTCAGTGGAACCAGCGGACCAGCGGTCGGTGGAACCAGCGGACCAGCGGTCAGTGGAACCAGCGGACCAGCGGTCGGTGGGACCAGCGGACCAGCGGTCGATGGGACCAGTGGACCAGCGGTCGGTGGGACTAGCGGGCCAGCGGTCGGTGGGACCAGCGGACCAGCGGTTGGTGGGACCAGCGGGCCAGCGGTCAGTGGACCAGCAAACCAGCGGTCGGTTGGACCAGCGGTCGGTGGGACCAGCAGACCAGCGGGTGGCGGGACCAGCGGGCCATGCGGGACTGCTGGCTGACCGCAGCGTTACATTGCATGCACTGTCCAGGCGGGCCGGCAGACGAACGAAGTGGGTGGTCAGGTGATGAGACCTCATCGGGAGACCTCATCAGCAGGCATGTGGACCGGCCGATGGGCTGAGGCACAGACGCTCTCAGCGCCAGACGGTCGGCAGAACACACGCATCAACGGCGGGACTGATGGTCTCACTGACAGGAGGACCGGCTGTGCGGACTGGCAGCGAGATGGTCCGGCACTTGCTAGGCGGAGATGTGCGTGAGCTGGCGGAAAAGTGGACAAACGCTGGGCAGGAGGGAATATTGGTTAGCGGCAACGTAGACAGACGCTGGGCAGGAGGGGGTAGTGGTTGGCGGCAACTTGGACAGACTCTTGACAGGATGACCGAGCGGGTTGGCGACGGCCAACCGTGGATGATGGGGCGGATCAGACGACCAACCGCGGATAATGGGGCGGATCAGACGACCAGACGTGGATAATGGGGCGGAGCCAGACAACCAGCCGTGGATAATGGGGCGGAGCCAGACGGTTAAGCGCGCGGTCTGCGCAGTCCGAACAGGGCTCAGTCGTCCGACGACGTGCGGCAGGGGGAAGCTCAGAGCCGGAGGGGAGGGGGACGGCCGAGCGGTGCCTGGGGCGAGCTGCAGCCATTCGCGGCAGATGTTCGTCGTCGTTTCACCGCCCATTCCAGGTAATGCTCAGCCATTCAGACTGATGCCAGCAACAGATAAGTCGAGCAAATGGATTCGGCGCAGTGTGTCGCTCAGCGAGACGCTCTGCTTGATCGCTGGCCCCTCTCGGGACTCCGGAGCCTCCCCCGCCGGAGCTCCGGAGGTCACCGCCCGGTGGGCGCCGCCGGACCGGCAGTTTGCATGTACAGTGGTGTGGCGCGAGATGCAGGACCGTGCTGATGGACTGCGGCCGCGGCCAGACACGGCCCGTCCAGCTGCCACGGCTGAGTTACGAGCGCTATGTGTCTCACCGGCTCGGGCCGTCGACTGAAGGTCAGGTGGGGGGCGCACGCCGCCGCCGCCGCGGGCGTTCGACATTGGAGTGCTCCGCCGCTCGCCCCGGCAGCGGGCCGCGACGCCGTTACCGGTTCGGCATGCCCCGAACGGAAGCGCTACGCGTCACGGCGGCCGCCGGAGCCGGCCGGGCCGCGGCCGCGTGCCGTCGGAAGCACCGAGCGGCCGGCTCGCCGCTCCGAGTGCGACAGGTCACGTCAGGCGCGTGCCGAGCTGCCGGCCGGCGCCGTGGCCGGGGCCGGTCCCAAGCTGCGCGCCGGCAGGCCGGCCGGCAGCGCCGCTGCAAGCCGGTCCCAGGGCGGCACCGCGGCCGACCGACGCGCGGCCGGTCACGAGCGCGCCGCGGCCAGACGAGACGTGAGCGGCGCTCCTGGCCGCCCGGGAGCTGTCCGCCGGTCGCGGACACGGCCGCGCCCTGTCACAATCGATTGGTGCAGGAATTCATTAGGCGGCGGCCTGCTGGCGTCGAACTGGAGTCCGGCAGTGGGCAGTGATTGACCTGTTCCGGCTGGGCGCGGCGACGCCCTGCGCTGGCAGGGCGCGGCCGGGCGCGACACAGCTGCGGGGTCGTAGGTGCGCAGAGTGCCTCGGCACTCCGCCCCGCCAGGGTGCCGAGGTCGCCAGGTCATCCGGAGGAAGCTGACACGGCTCCCCCAGGCACCAGTATACGGATCATTCCCTGGCGCAGGTGACGCCATTAAATATTCATGGGTCAGATGATGATTGGCATGATGCATCTGCCTGCGTGACATTTCGTGTCTGCCGGCGGTCTCCTAACTGGATGGCAGGATGACGTTGGAAGCTACCAGGACTACCAGGGGCATTAGCAATGCATGCTGAAAATGCATCGGGAGAACCCTTGTACTCAGAAATAAAATTTTAAGCAGGATTTTGCCAGCTCTGTTGAAGTTTGCATACACTTTACGGGTATTAATTGCAACATAATGCCAATCTTTGATATAGGCATATCAAATTCTGGACAACCATGACGTTATCTGTCCCGAAGACGATTGAAAAACTGTTTATGTCGTTCCAAAATTTGCATTTCGGTAAAGCTTACGTGTGCGCCTTGAAACCCTTTCGGCCGGGATAATATGCAGAAGCTTCACAGACAACAGCTCCCACCCAAACCGCTCTATATTTTTTTACCCGCTTTGGTCAACAAGCAAACGTAAGTCGTAAACTCATTAATCGAAAGCTGTGACTTTTAAAACCGTAACAATAGTAGTTTGGAAAAAATGAAACAAGCACGCCAGCCTGCTAATCAGGATGCATTGCGTTACGCTAGAGAAACATCGTGAAACGCTTACTAGCCCCTCATTTGGATATCAAAACGTGCTCATTAAGCACAACCATGAAACCCAATGTTCCGGCGCTTATTCCAATCAGCGGAGCATGATTGACGCGATGCATGAGCTGCAGGTAAAACCTTGTCTAGGGTTGCAGCATTACTCGGGCAGCAAGCCGGCCAGGCGCCTGGCCAGCCCATGGCACCAGTGGTGGATCGATGAAGTTTTGATGGAGAGGCGGATTTACAAGTTAATGAAATGGCTTTTATTCTTCTTAGTAGCGTCAGAGTAAATCAAGCCAGCAGATCCTTTCGTCGTCAGAAAGTGCAGTTAGTTGGTCTGCTGTGGGTGGTTTCTCAAACGGATATGCTATTCGGGTATTGATATTTCGTAAGTCTGTGGCAGCCAAATACGTCCTTAAAACTCACGGATCCCGACTGTTTCGTTAAGTGGATGTGTGAACTGAACATTTAGGTTATTTATGCATGGGTCGGTAAAAATGTAGTTAACAAACTGATGCTGATCTAAGCGTTCAATTGTAACGAACTCTTCAAGATGAACATGGACGCCCAGGGAAGGGTTTCAACTAGGAGTTTGGTCGACCCGCAGTTTTATCAACGAATCTCCTGCACCCACTTGTTCAGCTGGCAGACGGCGATTCATAAGCACGACTCGAACAAGGAAACTGTCGGAGGCCTGATTGGAAAGCTTCAACGAATGGAATTAAAACTTCCGTCAATAAAGTGACGGTCAATACACGTGCAATATCTTTTACTGGAACAACTCCGCGTTTGAAAAAGAAATTCCAGCTTAGCGGGCCTCTACATTTTGTATTATTGTTAAACACCGGCCACAAGGTTGAGCAGATCGGGTGCGATCAGGCGCCAGCCATCTGTGCTCCTGAGCAGTCCCCTCCACGGACAGAGCGGCGCCATCCGGTCCTGCGCGGCTGTCGCAGCGAGCGTCAGTGGCCGGCCGGTGCCTGGCGCTGATACTGGGCACGCCACCGGCCGGCACCAGTCCGCACGGGGTTCGAGGCCTCAGGACTCAGAGGCCCAGCCCGCAGCGGCGACGCAGGTCAGCGGCTGGCACTCACCGTCAGCAGAGGGCGGGGTCAGCAGCAGTGCTAGGGTCAGCACGCCGAGCATGAACGCAGGTCGGCGGCTGGCACTCACCGTCAGCAGAGGGCGGGGTCAGCAGCAGTGCTAGGGTCAGCACGCCGAGCATGAACGCAGGTCGGCGGCTGGCACTCACCGTCAGCAGAGGGCGGGGTCAGCAGCAGTGCTAGGGTCAGCACGCCGAGCATGAACGCAGGTCGGCGGCTGGCACTCACCGCCAGCAGAGGGCGGGGTCAGCACACCGAGCATGGACGCAGGTCAGCGGCTGGCACTCACCGTCAGCAGAGGACGGGGTCAGCAGCAGTGCTAGGGTCAGCACGCCCGAGCATGGACGCAGGTCAGCGGCTGGCACTCACCGTCAGCAGAGGGCGGGGTCAGCAGCAGTGCTAGGGTCAGCACGCCGAGCATGCTGACCGCGGCGCGGGGGCCGTATCGTCGGCCGCGACCGGGCCGCGGCCCGCCCGGCTCCAAGCGGGCTGCTGTACCAGCCCGGCTCCAGGGGTCGGCCAGGAAGGCCCCGGGTGCTGTACCAAGCTCGGCAGGACACGTCTTCCGTCCTCGGAGTCGTCAGGGCTTCCCCACGCTCCGCCGCCGGGCCGTCAGCAGCATTGCGGCGGTGCCTGCGAATGGAACGCCCCGGTCAACGCCTTGCCGTCGGCAATAAAGGAAGATGAAGTGCCTTAGTTAGTTTTGTTCGTTAAATTGGCCGTCCATATACCTGGGCCACCACCGTCCTTGGCCAAATGAAAAGAGGATTAAGGGCGGGGAAGAATTACACCAGAGACGCAGCTGCTCTGCCCATGGCAGCCGCGGTGAGCCCCGCCGGAGCTGCGGCAGCGCCATTATTGCCCACGTCGAATGGAATGATGTCGTGGAGGGCACACCATGATTGAATGGAAAAGCTCCAAGGGCACACGCGAGTTGAGAATTGTGCAAATTTGTCAGACTGGTGGCATTTGTGGATGGTGCAGTGAGTTAAGTTATTGCGAAAACTTTCGAAATGCTCAGAGAAAATTAAAGTCGGCCGTTGCTTTCCATGGGAAGAAAGAGTGATAAAAGATTTCATCTCAGATCGGTCTGAATTAACCACATAATCAAGTTTGTCTTGCGCTAAAATCACTTGGTCGTATGCATCAGGGCGGTTTCAGAGGTGGGACTTCATCTGTAAACTTCCTTTTTTGTACTCCCTGTTCAGGACTGTACCGCTAGTTTGGAACACTGGACAATCCGATTCAGCGGTTATAGCAGCATACAATGCGGTTACAGTAATTTACCATAAGCACCATAAAGAACGGCAAAAACTGAAGGCATCGTGGCAGCTCAGGTTCAGTCAGTACAGCGAACGCCATGGCAAGTTATGAATCTCAATAACTCTCAAACAATAGTTCAAAAAAGAAATATTACCTTTGACAGTGCTCCAATCGAGAGAAATAATTATGGTCTGCAAACGATAAGTCCTAGCAATTATATGTTTCTCCAATTCAGATAAGTCCTTTGAAAAATGATGGGTTAAACGTCTTTTCTTGTAAATATTAATGTACTATTTTTGCAAAGAATTTGCCCGTTGGGAAGCATCTTCTCGCTGCAGCTCCAGTGAAAACGGCTATCATTGCACACAACATCGGTATATGATGCATGCGTTTGAAGGCGTCTGTGGTTGGGGTGGAAGGCCATAATTTGGTTGCGCCCTCACTTTCGCACGGATAATGGAGGCATGGCCGGCATGTGAAGGATTATTCGTGGTCAAGGAGCCGCCATTCTTGGCTCAATATTGGTCCATATGATTCATGACTCATCGGTGCATCACCCCCTACTAATGGAATCCATTTTCGTGATAGGACGTCGTGTTGTTTGTGTTGTTCGTTATACTACAATTGTTGGCACCGTTGTTATTCTAATCCAAGCAGCCAACATGCGTCTGGAGCCCCAACAATTCCAGGATGCCACAAACATAGGATGCATAGGGAGTCCTGGATCCTCCATTGGAATCTAGACACATGTTTGCACTAAGAAGGCTCATTTTTTTAAGGATTTAATTTCGAATTTTTTGAATGAACGGATCTCTGGAATCAAAGGTCACGCTAATGTAGTGTCTTTGTGAGCGCTTACCCCTACCACCTGATCTCGCAATTCCATGTAAATGACTGAATTTGGTGGCGAAAGCTGAACATGTCGCAATAATACGGTAAATGGCAATGGCTCAGCACAGTCCGTCCTCCTTCTGGCGTCCTTTGACCTTTAGCGCGGCCGCTGCCACCGGCCGCAGGCCATGCCCATCAAGGACGAATGGACCCATGGTCTATTCGACTGAACAAAGACGTTTGCATTGGGCGCTGGCACAAAATGCCATTACGCGATGCATTTTGATCCGTAGCAGGTCAGACCAAAAAGAAATGAACCGCTCTCGTGGTGAGATGAACCGCTCTCGTGGTGAGATGAACCGCTCTCGTGGTGAGATGAACCGCTCTCGTGCTGAGATGAGCCCTTCTCGTGGTGAGATGAACCGCTCTCGTGCTGAGATGAACCCTTCTCGTGGTGGCATGAACCGCTCTCGTGGTGAGATGAACCGCCCTGGTGGTGTGACGAACCGCTCTCATGGTGAGATGTTTTCCGGGCGGCCTACTCTTCTGGTCGCAGCGCATCCGCGTTGCTGCCCTTTAATTAACATAGCCGCCGTTGCCACTAATCATCTGATCACCAGATATACGTTTTACTGCTGATTAACCACGTAATTCCGTCGCGTTTTACGATTGCATAGAACCTGTCGAAGCCTCCATCATCCCTTTGCATATACTTTCATGATATTCAGACATAATTCAATGTTCGGTGCGAGGTGGCAATAGCACCAGCACATCCAAGTGAGTTTTCAAAAGTCGTCGATCCTTTTAAAACGCATAATGATTAGGTGCAACCGGTGAATCTTCTCTTACCTGTAAAAGCAACAATGGCTGTTTGCTGGGTAGTATTGTCACTTATTGTGCAAACCGAGGCATTTTGAAAGCTTTGCTTTTTCGTGGAGAAGATGTTGTTTTTGTTTTCTTCCAAAATGTGTTCACCTTGTCTTCATTTTCAAGTTTTCAATCATTGAACACACTATCTCAAGAACACTTCTTGGCATGTTTCATCAGCTTCCTCAAGAGCTTATGCTGCAACCATGTTGTGCTGTTAACTGGTGACGTGCGAGAACGATGACGCTTCTCATCGCTATAATGTGACATTTTAGCGTTGCTTACATCTGCTTCGATGCGATGCGATGAAAGACGGGCGGAGAGTGACATCCTCCCCGACCCCCATCGTTTACCGAACACATATGTTGGAGTATGTTATGGCCGTGGGTAGAGGCATGTATAGGAAGGCAGATGGGTAAGTAGCCTGCCAGTTGTTGAAGTTTTGTTCGTGGATCCCCGCAACTTTCATCCCCACCTGCGCTGTCAGGGCAGCCCAGCATCATTGCCAGGTGGTCAAAGAACTGAAAGAGAAGAATAATTGTCTGGTGCATTACTTTCGTTGCTCGCCACAAACGCGTAATATTGTAAAATCGACAAGGTGCGTCTCCCCCTTCGCCCCCCCCCTCCCCCCGCCCCCCAGTCAGAGAGACGTACCTATGGCAGGGGTGCACTTCGCCACAATCAAATAACTTCACATGCTATGGTTTCGCACATCGGCAAGTGTGACGTCCAGGGCCCGTCGCCCTATTCTGGTGTCGCATCTCGCTCCCCACTCGCCCCCAGACCGCTAGGACCTTCGTAATTTTCAAACTTCCCATGATCGGCTTGGTGCAAAAGAGCACAAGTTCGGTCTCTCTTCAATTTCTATTGGTGCTAACGATGTTATTTGATGAAATTGAGATATCATATAATTGTGTAATCATACATCATATGAATTTAGATATATAAACCATACAATGCAAGCTTTTTGTAAGAACTGGACGGTTCATTTGAACGAAAAATCCTATAGTGAAGTCATTAATCCGTGTTATTATTCCCTCCAGGACGCCTGGCATTGTAAAGAGACCCTTTAACAGAAAAGTTTGACTGAGCCCTCTGTGGTCAAGATGAGCTCATAGCTATGTGCTGACTGAATGGCTAAGTGTGCGAGTTATGATCATGTCTTACCACGCACACCAGACGAAGCAAAAATCTACGCGATACTCTCGTTTTCTCAAATACCACGCAACCTAAAAGTTGCTAGGAAGCGGTTTTGGTGTGCCTACTAATAGACAACGAGACGTCATTTCAACAAAACATACAGCTAGATCATCCGAGAACGTTTTTGTTCACAACCTGGCGGTCAGAATGGCCGCTCACTGCATTGTCACCCAGCCATAGTGACGGACAAGGTTCGCAACGCGGTCGAGGCACTCTCGACTGGAGGCTGGTGTCCAGGGGGAAATGTCCGCCGTTGATGCCACCCTTACGAAAATGATTGTCATAAAGCGGACGACTTGCTCAGCCCGTCCCTGGACACACCTAGTCACTTGATTACCCCGGTCCACCGGAAGCTGGTGGCGCCGTTCGCGGAAGGCCAGGAGGGGACGGAGAAAAGATCAGATTTGGGAACGCTTCGTACGTCTGTGTGCGTGGAGATTTGTTGCACTTAACTCTTTGCCGAATGAGCTGTTTTTGTGAATCAGAACTATCGGTTTGCCCAGTTTACCTTGCATTTACCGCGTATTTTGCCAAGTTCACTTTGGCTGGGTTCAATTAGACATCGTTTGAAACCATATCTCGTCAGTCACGTCATCACTATGCAGCACTGCGCGATTGTCATGAATTGCCGCACTGGTTTTCAATGGTTTTCCCGCCCATGTGTATTGAAGACTGTGGTATTTAGCGTTGTTGTTCGTGAGTGAAAAACATTCGTTTTTCACTGCTGACTTCATTTGACTCTAAACATCTTGACCTAGGCTACCGTAACACTATAATCACAGATCATCACGCAGGCACCACATTTTCTGAAAAAAAAAACAAAAAACTGTGTATTGCCTTACTAGGGGAAAAGGAAACAGGCACACATTTGACTCAACACCC